AAACCTATTACCTTAGCATTATTTTCACTAGTTGTTTCCTGTCATAAGTTTAATTCTGGGGCTGGATGTAAGCCAAATCCCTTCCCCCTACGTCTCCTCAATCAACCTCCCTAGTGTGAGCACTGCCCTGGGTTCTTGAAGCCCATGGGAACTCTGACGCACTAGGGTCCAAGGTTCTTTGCCATTTTTCCTAATTGCTCAACTATGCACCCTTTTCCACCTACTGGACAAGGCAATGGGCTTGTGTAAATGGTTGTCTTTCTGGGACTATTGATCAGCTCTGGCTACTGGGTTTTGGCTATTCTATGTCTAAATGAAGATCGTTTTCTGAGTTTAATTGGCTATGACTTCTGGGCTATGTTGAAGCCTGTTGTATATGATAGGCTTGGCCTGGTCGGGTATACTTTGGGCATGTTTAAGGCCTACTATAGTTATTTTGTAATTTTGTAATTCATTTTATTCATTGGGCCTGTAATAACAATTGAGGTGATAGTAAAATTGGGAAAATGGGTTTACTTTTATACTTGCATAAAATGGGTAAAAATTCTACATATAGGTGTTTTATTTGCTCGAGCATATTCTATTTCTATGTGTGTTAGATAACCTACCTATAGAACTTCAATGTTCAATTCGTTCAACATATTATGCTTTTACATGATTGCTAGATATCATGCCATTCTTTCAATTGCAGCATATTCACCAGATACCATGATCATAGGACTATAATAGTTTATGTTCTACAAATTTGCATTTTAAAAATCATGCCTATAGGGCCTTAATTGGTTAATGTACTGTTATTATAATTACTCACTTAGGAGATATGCCTATAGGAGATAAAAACCAGTTTCAAATCGCTAATCGTAGAAATTCTGCCTATAGGATAATCCCACTCACTTTTAAGTGCTAATATAGAACTTTCAAACACTGTTTCATTGTCACTATTAGAAAGCATGCCTATAGGATCAAACTAAGCAATTCTGAATATCTTCCATGGTTATCACTGCTAACTATTGCACCTAGATATCATGTCTATTGGTTTAAACACTTATAATCTGTAATTTTAGTAATCAGTATGCAATACCAGATTACCTAAAATATATAGTTATTTGGAAAGTATGCTTCTAAAATAGCACCTTACATCTGAAACTGCCTGCATGTTTGAATTCCAAAGTCACATAGAAACCATATCTATAGGGCTTAATGACTCTAACTCACTTCAAATTCTAAAACTGTCAAATGCCTAATTTGTTTGCGTGCATTTGTTGTCTAAGTGTGGAGGCTAACTTAAGCCCTTAACTGCTTTTATGTGAAGTCCAACTTGTTTTGTATATCGCCTAGTTTTCTCATTTTGAGCAATCTAAGTTAGGTCTAGAACCACCCAAAATAGAGGTCCAAATGCCTCCTGGACCATAGCCATGGGACGGGTAGTGCATGCATAAGGTACGGCTTAGAATCAATTAGTACGCTTTAGGTAACAACTTAAAGATAGTAATCGGATAACAGGAGATGATAGTCTATTCCCGCTGAATAATACGAATAACACCCCATCTTGGGGGAGTTACGAAATATTATTTATGTTGCACCGGGTGATCCTTTAGGCTAAAAAATTTAGGACCCCCCCTCCCATCTTGTCTTTAAATCCATTATTTGTGATTAACAATGAACTTCCTAAACTTCTTGCCTTTCCCTCTTGTTTTGGACTAATTCATATAATTCGAGTTCGGCTGGGACCCATAGTTGTGGACCTCAAAAAGTGTCTAACACCTTCTCTTCGAGGTAATTTCGAGCCCTTACCCGATCTTTGGTGATGCAAACTGGTTAAACCTGAGTTATTTGCAAATAGGTGCCCTAACTCACCTCAAATCGTTAGTTGGTGACTCTCTCTTTTAACATCTTCCTTAAAAGAGTTGTCACGTGTCAAAACTTGATTTCGCGAAAAAAAGGGCGCGACAGTCTTCCGCTCCTTGGGCCCCCTCGTTGGGACGTTCTTTCACCATCTAAGCCTCGTTATACATGGACTCAGTGAACAAAGGCGACTCGGAGATGTCTATCACACCAAATGCATCCTTCGGGGCATTGCTTGCAACCCCTGAAGCCTCGGTAATGGCCCCCTTGTTGGTCTCCCTAACTTGAGGCAAATCAGCCTCGCCCCTCTCTGGTTCGGAAGCCTCGACCACGGCCTCCTTGTTGGCCTCCATAAATTGGGGCAATTCAGCATCGCCTCTCTCTGGTTCGAAGGCCCCTTGCCCCTCGAGTTGCGATGGCTCGCAAGCTACCAGATCAAATTCTTCTTCTTCTTCGGACTCGTTCTTCAGTCGGTAGAGTGAGTCCGATGATGGTGCTGGTGCTTTCTTTGGATTTGAGAACCAACCTTCTCCTTGGTTTCTTATTTTTTGAGTTTGGAGAACTCGGAGCCCTTTTTCTTTTCTTCTCATCACCTTGTCTCGGAGCAGGGGAATCGGTAGAGAAGTCCTCGCCATCGGATGGAGGCCTCAATATGACGTCCTTGGAAAAACCTGCAAAAGGAAACAAAACAAGTGAGAACTTAGCAACACAAAAAGAACCCCAAATATTACTCACTCGGGAAAGGAATCTCACCATGAGAATGGGCCTCATAAAGACCCTTCGAGAGTTCGTGTCATACGCACTTAGAATATGGCCTTTGTAACACGATGCCCTCGACCCACTCCTTGAGTCGAGTGACTACATTCGGGACCCGAGCGACAGCTGCACAACCGCAAAGCACCGATAAGAAGGAAGGAAAAAAGAGTAAGATAAAATCTTGAAAACGAAATTTTACTTACGTGTTATATTCCACTTCTCGAGGAACAGCATGCACGCAGCTGAGATCAAGTCTGAGGTCCTCACTCGGACAAAATAGCCTAGCCAACCTCGATCCTGATCTTTATCGATACTCGAGAATAGGGCTTTACTAGCCCGACGAGCGAGCTTGATCAGTCCACCCCGAAAGAGTCGAGAACTGTATAGGCACATGAGGTGGTCAACGGTGAACGAGCATCCATCGATCTTGCTCACGAAGAATCGAAGAAGGATCACGATCCTCCAAAATGAAGGGTTAATTTGACCGAGGCATACCACGTATCTTTTGCAAAAGTTGATGATGACCGGATCTAATGGGCCCGGCGTAAAGGGATAAGTGTAAACACTTAAGTATCCCTCGATGTGGGTGGTGATATCTTCATCGGGTCCGGTAACCACCACGTGTTTGTCAACCCAATTGCAATCCTTTTTTACCATAGAGAGGACTTCTTCAGTGATCGAGCATACGCATCTCGAGACCTCCTCACGCCAGCTTGGTACGGAGGAAGTTTTTTCAACCTTGAAATCGGTGATTACCGAGCATCCACCAGGGATGAACATTTTCAATGAGGGTTCCGCTATTGGTTCCTCGACAGCAGTATGCAGAACAGTCTCCTCGGCAGTCGGCCACGAGGTTGAAGGAGTTTCTTTTTGGGGAACGGTTTTTGAAGTCTTTGCCTTTTCTTTTAAATGGAGGGGAAAAGAGGAAGTTAAAGGAGTACACTGGATAGTTTGGGATGAAGACGAACAAAAGATCTCAAAAAACCAGGATATAAGTGCCAGAAAGTATAGAGATTTCTAAGGAACAGGAACAAGGGTAGAGGGTTTGGATGTAAAGTTTGAATGAACAAAGAATGGGGTACTTATAGTTTTTCAATCGATGGTTCGCACTCAAGAGTGGTCAAACGTCAACTGAAAATCATTTAATGCCATTAAGACTTGATTGACGAGACGTTTCGTTTATTTTTTCATTTCTATCGCGGGGTATCAAAGTAAGAATCGGAAGCTCATATCATTTCTCGTCATCTACTCTCCGAAAAATGAGGGAACTATCTGTATACAATCGAAATCGGGCTCATCTACGACATGGTAGATCAGGCTTGGAACATGAAGGACTGAAGATCGACCCCGAGTCCCAACGGACTAGAACCCGGGTCAGAATGCATGTCTTCGAGAATATTGAGTCTGTGATCCCGGGATCGATCCTAACCCCGAACGAGCTCGAAGAAACATTATTAGCATAAACAACAGAAGACCAAAATATATGTGATCGATCGGATATTACGGCGTAAATTTTGGCACGTATCAATAAGGAACCGACAATCCGCAAATCAAGAGATTTTTACCTTTTATAGAATTGTACCTAAAGTAGGATCCCCTACTATATAAAAAGGGGTCTCATAATCCATTGAACACATTGTAACACACATTCCAAAGCAATACATCATTATTATTTCTCTTTAAGCTCTTGTTCTTCTGTATCCTGACACCGATCNCCCCCCCGCGCTATATAAAAGGGGTCTGAAAATTTGTTTAAGACACGGTAACACACATTCCAAGCAATACATTATTTTTCTCTTTAAGTTCTTATTCAATTGTGTCCTAGTACCGATCGAAGTGCATCTAATTCGAGGGTGGCTAATCTCCCAATATTATAACTGTTTAATTCGTGTGGTTTGAATTTACTTTATCATTCTCTTATTTATTTCAATTGCAACTTAATTTATCACCTTGTGTCAAGTTAATCCACATATCCTTAAAACCACTTATAAATTCAATTGTTATCTGATTGTGAGGGTAAACCATAAAAGATATACTCTTTTTGTCACGATTTATATAACATTATTTCTATTTTAGAACGTCAAATAATATTTGATACCATTCTATTTATACACTATATATTTAAAATTTAATTGAAGAATCTAAACTCATTATAGTAAATTTTTATTTTAACATTGGATTTTGATTGAATATTTTCTCCATCTTACATATAAATTCGCCTCGATTAAGGAACATGCAATTATTGGGCCAATATATATGATGCTAACAAGTATGTCGGACTACAGGCCTCTATGATCGGTTGCGGCATGCTATCTTGTCCCTCAACTCGTTATCAACATGATTGATTATAGGACATAAATCAGTGGAACTTTCAATGCTAACAGCAATATAACTATTAATTAAGTAAGTAATTAAGACTACTTTGTTTAATAACTAATTAAAGACAGCTTTTATATACAATCAAGGAAGCAAAGTCGGCCTGCAAATGTTTTATTTTTTTGTATTTTTTTCTCTTTCCATTATTTTTTCATTTACTAATTCCACATAGAATAATTTAGCACTACAAGACAAATAGAGAATCAACAAGATTGGCTACCGGAGGTGCTCCTCCTCCTCTTGGCCGCCGGAAAAAGATGCCATTCCTCAGCCACCACTCCATCAAAGTCAAGCTGGTGAATATTCCCATGATTAGTAACATCAAAGAAGCAACCATCTGATAATCCGGCAGCCATGTCGCCGTCGCTGCCGCCACAAGGCGGCTTGGCCTTGCGACGGCCGGCTCCTACGGGCACGTTCCGTAAGGCCCCACCGGCCGTCCAGTACCTTTGACAACCTTTGCAAAAGTGTCTTGGTTGGTTAACATTGTAGTTGTTGAAGTAACAAAACTTGGTTTCCATGCTTTTGCATCTAGGGCAAGGGATGATCTTGTCTGGCTTTTTTTCTTGATCTTCATCAATATCATGATCATGATCAACTTTGTTTGGTTGTTGATGATGATCAAGACCTTTTGCAGCTTGTTTTGCTTGAACTTGTATTGTTGCACCAAACAACTTGATGCCTTGTGAGATGCGACTTTCTTGAACTTGAGCCATATTTTCTTGGTTTTTTGGGGGTGGGGTGGGGAGGCAAGTGAATGTCTATGTTTGATGTAGAGGAACTTAGGAATTGAGTATATATATATATATATATATATATATATATAGATAGAGATGTGTATATATATGCACTTAAAAAGGAAAAGGCAAAAAGTGCAGAGTGAGGTTAAGAGGTTGGGGGTGGATGATGAGTTAGATAGGGGAGGAAAAAAGTTCATAGATATGATGGGGAGAAAGAGATATAATTGAAGAGTATAAAAGTATAGAATAAAAAGGACATGAGAGAGAGAAAAAGGGTAAGTCAAGAAAGAAAAAGTTCATGGGTGATGAGCACAACTTCTTTTTAAGAACTTTTGGATGCTCTAATTTATATATTACTCAAGTTTTATTCCTCTGGTTCTTCTAAATTTACTGACTTAGCAGCATTTACAACGAAAATTTGGTATACAGTTAAAATTTTCATCCGTTCCAATGGTTCATATAGTTTGACTCCATGTGAACTTTAAGATTAAAATGGAAAACTTGTAGTTTTAAATATGTAAGTAATACTTTTGTCACTATAAAACTTTTCTTCTTAAATATGTCAATCATATTTGAGTGATTATAAAAAAAAAATTATTAAAGGTGAATTAAAAAGTTTATAGTTAATTACTTTTAAAAATAAAAATATATTTTTTTAAACGGACTAATAGAAAAATTATACCAAACAAATTGGAATGAACTAATAACAAAATGCAAAATTATACCCTTTCTTTCAAAATAAATGTTAAATTTTTATTTTACCAGATCCAAATAACAAAGTCATCATTAGACTGATTAAAAGGAAAGTATGGAAATAAAATTGGAATTTTTTGAAGGCCAATTTATTATGATTCCCCAAGCTTTGTGTGTGATTTTTAGCAAAATGACTTTATGAAGCTCTCTATCTAAAAAAATCAATGTTTGTATTGCTGCTACTGATACTTAGTATTTATAACAAACATCTTCGTTTAGACTCAGAAAAAAAGGAAAGTAAAAATCATTGGCTTTAAAGTATATTAATATGTTAGATACCATATATGTGTGATAGACACAATTAGGTGAGCAAAAAGTGAAAAAGGAATAAAGTAAGTTGTAAATTTTCCAGTAAAAGAATAAAAGGAAAAAGGGAGCCGCCATGAGCAACAAACAAAGGTTCTTTTTTTCTTTTTATTCTATTATTCTTTGATGGGG